TAAAACTTCAGTCCTGAAACTGAAATTTGAAAAATAACAAAAACATAAACAAAAACCCCAAAACTATGGTAAGTGAAAAATGTGATTCAGTAACTAATGCTGTGGTATAACAAACAAAAGCCTCTTGATAAAACATTCTGAATAAGTTTGCAGACCTACAAAGGCACTTCTATAGGAAAGAATACATTTCCTTAGCTACACTGTTAAGGAAGATCTAGAGGTTAAAACAGATTTTTCAGAAGAGAGGCAGGAATATGTGTGTTTGTGTATATTACAGTAAATTATATAATTTAATGTATGCCTCCTTTCTCAGAATGCACTGTTTTTCTCTTCACAAACATCTATTACCCAAGAGAAAAAATACAAAGCCAACAATTCTATCGAATATTTTTTTTAAAAATTCATATTTTTGCTTTAATAGTTACAGAAACTAAGAACATCTAAATAATGACTAAAGTAGTTTTCCCCTCACAACCTGTTTGATATCATAAAAATGACAGATTTCTGACAGATTTAACCCAATCCACTTCATCTGTTCCTGGATAATTTGAAGCATGCCCTGGGCTGGAATGGTTTGTAGGCATCTGGATCTAGATTTCCATTTTGTACTATCCCTCCTTTTCCACTGAGAAGTTATTTATTGCTTTGTGGTTTTGTTTTTCTTTCTTCACCCACACTGTGGAAGGTAAAGTCCATGTTCAGCAGTGCTGGCCATCCTTGGGACATGCATAAGCATAAATGGAAGTTTCTAGATTGTTTCAGAATATGCCTCAAATGCCTCTTTCTGTTTTCCAAAGTACATTTCTGGATTTAAATGAGCTGAATTTTAAGAACTATATCTTCCCAAACGATATTTATTGTAATAAAAAACCTTACTTTTCAGAATATACAAATCGTTCCTTCCTGCTGAGCAACAGAGAGTCATTAGTTGCAGACAGTAGCCTTTCTTTTTCACCCTTTAAATGCTAAAGATCGTAATTTCATTACAGTATGAAAAATAGCTCTAGCATTTATCTGCTTTTTCATTCAGGGAACATCTATAGAAAAAGTGAACATATATATCAGTTTAAAAAATAATATTCACTGTACATGAATACCAATGCAATGGTTATAATCCTTCCCAGTTACTCATATTTCCGAAAGTAAATTGTGTGTAATCTCACATAACACATTCTTTTCTTCCATTACTTCTTTATTCATATTTGAGTTTCTATTTTTACAAGTATTTGATTTGAATTCAAAAGTATAATCAAAAGAAAATATAAAGGTTATATAAATGTTTTTTCCTTGCTCAAATTTTACATGCTCTTACTAAACTCACCTTGTGAACATATGGACAGTGTATCAATAGTAAAGGGAAATACATCTACACATGGCACACTCTTCCTGGTAATAGCTTCATGACATAGAAAAGGCACGAAAAAGCATGAGAAATATTTCTCTAATCGCGATCACACATTTACATATGCATTGTTCTCATTTCCCCCTTTTTATAGCAATTCTGAATCTAAGAAACGTCATAGTGCTCATTACCTTGTTCACATTCTTCGATAAAAGAAGGTTTTGAATAACCTCATGTACATTCAGAAACCAAAGCAATGCCAACTAGAACTTAAACTATTTTATCTAACTCATGTATATTCTGTAAAAAAGAGAATGTGGGCTTGTTTTTGTTGTTGTTATTCTGATAACTTGCATAATAATAAAATTTAGGTTTATAAGGGATTCTCATAAAATCAATAGAACTCTGGTTGCCATGTGTTAAGAAGCTGTGTTTCCCAGAACATGCGGTTCAAGTCCACCAAGTACTCTGTGATGTAAGGATGAACAATTTCCTCCTGTGTGATTTACTATCTCAAAAACATGCTGGAGGGTTAGCTATGGGTCAGTTCTGATTTGACAGTACACAATAACAATATACTGTCAAAAAGAGAACATTGATTTAATATTATAAATAAGCAGACCTATTTATTCTTTGAGTTATCTACCAGGGTTTTGAGATCTTGTAGGTAATACTATATATTCTGTTTATCTATATCTTCTCAAAAACATTTCATTTCTTTGTAATGCTTGAAGATCTTTAGGGAAATATATTCACAAGCCTGCAGTAACAATTTTACCAGTAATCTACAAGTGGACATAATGGATACATAGATAGACACATAAACTGAGCAATTTGGGAAGGGCAATGAGACTATACAGATAGTTACATATGTGCAGATAAACCTATGAATCTATTAGAACATTGTTGTTTTTGTGTACCATTGAGTTAGAATCGACTCAAAGCTGACCCTCCAGTGGGTAAAGAGAGACAGTTTTGATCATATGGGGGGAGATTATCCATTTACTCCCGCAGAACAGTTGGTAGATTTGAAGAGTGTGCCTTCAGGATTGCACGGCTCCTTAACACTAGGTAATTACACAGGGTTTACAAAATTACGAAAACCTGTTGTTAGGTGCTATTGAGTCAATATAACTCTTAGATCTAAATCTCGCCCTATTGTGCACAATCCTTATAATCTCTGCCATGTTGAACCCATTTTTGTAGTCACTCTGCCAGTCTATTGTATTGATGGTCTTCCTAGCTTTCACCGGCGCTCCACTTTTTCAAGTGTGACCTCTTTTTCCAAGGACTGGTGTGCCTACAACATGATCAAAGGATCATCCTTGCATTGAAAAACCATCCTAGTACCATTTCTTCTCAGACAGATTTTCTTGGTCATGACCAAATTTCTTGAAGGAATAAATCACAAGGCCTAGATACTTAGGACCATAACCTTAAGGTACATTAAGACCAATCAGAACCACAGTCCACAAACAAAATATTCTACGTGTGATTTTGGTGATTTGTTGTTGTTATTAAGAGCTGTTGAATTGGGTATGACTCATGAACCATGTGATTCTTGTTTCAGCCTTATTTCTGATATACTTGGTCCCATTGCTGCAGCCTCTGTATCAATATGTCTCACTTAGGGTCTTCCCCACTTTTGCTGACTCTTCACCTTTCCAATTCCTTTTCCAAGAAATAGTGATTTCTAACATATCCAATTGGAAGGAGGAGTGGCATCCACTTCCATAATAGCTTGCCTCCAGAAACCCTATGAACCTGGCGAGAGGATGAAAGGCACCCAAGAGTAGAGGACTCGCCTTCGTAGGGTCGCTATGAGTCGCCAGCGACTCGACAGCACTTAACAGCAACAACATATCCAAAGTATGTGAGGTGAAGCTTCCTCATTCTTGTCTCTAACAAGTCCTCTGACTGCACATTTCCAAGAAATATCTGTTCTTTTAGTAATGCATGGGACACTCAGCACCCTTCTCCAAAATCAAAACTCAAAGGCATCAATCTTTCTTCTGTCATCCCTATTCATTGCTCATCTCTCAGACACATAGCAGGTGACTGAAAGAAACCATGGTTTGGATCAGGCACATCTTAGTCTTTAAACTAACACTATTTTTCCTAAATACTTTGGAGAGGTCCTGACAGTTCACTTTCTAAGTACATGTTGCTGTTAGGTACGACTCATAGCAACCCTATGAACAAAAGTTCTGAACCCTGTTCTATGCTGTGACATCCTCACACTTCATGACACACAAAAGCCCATTGTAGCACTCCCTGTGTCAATCCACCTGGTCAAGGATTTTCTTCTTCTTTTCCAACCCTCTACCCTTCCTAGCATCATGTACCTCTCCAAGGAATGGCACCTTCTAACAACATGCCCAAAGTATGTGAGATGAAACTTCATCTTTTTTGGCTCCAAAGAGCACTTTGGCTGCACCCTCTCCAAGATATATCAGTTTGTTCTCTTAGTTATCCATGGGATGTGCTGTGCTCTTCTCCAACACCACAGTTTAAAGATATCAATTCTTTTTCTGTCATTCTTATTCATTGTCCAGCCCACAGAGGCATAGCAAATGACCAAAAAGACTATGGCCTGAATCAGACACACTTTAATCCTCAAACTGACATCACGACTCCTCAGTAATTTGAAGAGGTCCCTAACAAGACTTTCCCAGGGCAATATATTTCTTTATTTCCTAACTTCTGGTACCAAGAGTGTTAACTGTGGATCTAGGTAAGATGAAGTTTTGAGAGCTTCAGTCTCCTCTCTATCCATCATGATGTTGCCTATTGGTCCAGTACAGTAGTAAAAATCTTTATTTTCTTGATATTGAGATGCAATCCATACAGAAGGTTGCATTCCTTGAACTTCTGCAACAAGTACATCAAGTCTCCCTCAATTTCAGTAAGCAAGGTGTGTCATCTGAATAATGTAGGTTATTGATAAGTCTCCCTCCAATCCTTATGCCTCATTCCTCTTCATAGAGTTTAGCTGGTAGACTTGGTGTGTGGAACTTTGTGTTGAAAAGTTGGTTGGGCCCTGCCTAAAAGTCTCCAGTTTGGAGCCTCCTGTGTAAAGCTGTTGAATTCTGCAAGACAGGTTGTTTTGATTTAATTGACAGCCATTTGATTTAATTAAAAGTCAAGTGTAAAGTGTTTGCTCGGTTTTTATTTTGTTAACAAGTGTAAGCTGATTGGTCATTTGATTTCAGTTTGTAATCAACTGTGGGATAGAAGCCTCTTGTTTAAATAATTAAATATTGTTTAAAACAAAAAATTTTAATAGTGATATAATTTCCTTTGTATTTGGAATATTTAATTATTTTTTTAGTTTGTTCCTTAAAGAAAATAGGTTGTAGAAAACACACATCCCTATCAAACATAGTCTTTTTTTATTTAGAATGAGAAAAGTTAATTAAATATATTTTCTCTACATCATTTAGTCCACTTTTATACCATAATAGTTATAGTGGGAACAAGACAAACAAAAAGAATATTTAGATTATTGAGATAAAAATAGGGTAAAAATGGATCTTTTAGTATAACTTTATCAATCATTATTTCCTGTTATGTTAATAAACAGCATTTCATTTGAACAAGGACAGAACAATAATAACGAATTACTTAATGTGAAGGAAAAAATGTCAGAGTGGTTTACCTGGGGATATAATATAGAAGAAATCTTTAAATTCATCCATCCAAACTTCTGCCAGTCTCCTGTTGTTCTTATTGATAACATGACCGGTGCCACCAGGGAAGGTATATGGAGTTGCCTTCCGAAAAACGTGACCAACATGTGAGCATGTCACAATTTCCAAAGATCCTCCACACTGCCAAATCTGGGAAGGAGAAACAATTGAAAAGTAATCAATTGGGGGGGGAAAGGTAAAATTAGTATATAAGAAGCAACTAAGTCTCACCAAATCTTCAGATTTTTCTTATATGTTTCAAATAAAGAATAGATTCAATTTACAATTAATATATTCAGCAATGGAGACTAATCTGGAACAACTTTATATATTAAAATGTTTTAGCACTGGCCCATGGACTAAAAAATGAAATTATTTTCATTGTCAGTTTAAAGACTAAGGTGGGCATGATGCAAAGCATGACTTTTTCAAGACTTGAGAATAATTAAGGCAATTCAATTGGGGAGAAGAGTACTGAAAATACAAGGAACTGTCAAAATGACAAACAGCTTTATCTTGGAGAGAATACAAGAGACAGAATGGTGAAATTTCATCTTGAGCATGTTGCCAGGAGATGAGTCTATGGTAGGAAAGGTAGAAGGCTATCAAAAGAGAGGAAGACTATCAATGAAATGGTGACAGAGTGACTGTAACCAAGGGTTTTGAGCATGAGAGTGATCGAGATGATAGTGTAGGAAAAAACAAGATTCAGTTCTGTTGTTCACAGGATCTCTATGAGTCAGAGTTGGCTAAACATATGCATATTATGAGGTTGCCTAGACCGGTCCTTGGAGAGGGACATCATGCTTGGGAGGGTGGAGGGACAGTGCAGGAGAGGAAGGCCCTCTATGAGGTGGATTGATTCAGTGACTGGGATAATTGGGATGGGAGTGTCAGAGACGGTGCGATTGGCACAGGACAGAGCGGAGTTTAGGGCTGTTGTACATAGGGTCGCTACAAGTCGCAAGCGACTCGAGGGCATACAACAACAACAACAATAACATTCTCTAACAGAGCAGTGGGTGGATTCAAACCATATGCCTTTGGGATTACAGCACAGCTTCTCACCACTAGACCACCTATTGGCATCTGGAAAGTAGGTGTTAATAGATTCTGTTTAGCCAACTCTGACTCATACTGCCTATGAAAACCCCATTGGAGGGTCAGCTGTGGATCAGTTCTAAATCAATGACATACAACAACAATATTTAATGTAATTGATACTTTAGATTCAAAATGTGCTATGAATTAATAAATTATTATGTGTTTTTGTGCCATGGTCATCAAATACATTTGGTTTGTAGGGGGAAAAACCTCTAATCTGTTACTGCCTTACTGCCATCCATCTGGAATTTTAAATGGTCATTCATTTCAAACTGTTCATGCTCTTTGCATCTTAAGCCTTTGAATATATAATCATCGTTTTTGAAAATGTGCTAGAAATCTTGGCATCTGCTGAACTTTTATCTTTCTTTCCATATCTATCACCAAGATTACTTCTTCTGTGCAACTTTGTAGAAACACTGTAACTGTATGTCTTTTGTACTTTAAGCATATTTTTACTGAGGTACTCACTTAAAAGCAACAATTTATATAGGTGAGGAACATAACCAGGAAGGGGCAGTCTTTGGAAAATGATATCATACTTGGAAACAGAATCAGAGAAGTAGAGAAAGATACTGAATGAGATGGGTTGAGAAAGTGACAACAATGGGCTTAAACACAGTAAAAATTATGAGAATAGTGCAGAATTGGACAAGGGGTTTTTTTTAATCTGTTGTATATATGTCACCAGGTATTGAAGTCAATTCAATGGCTCCTAACATGATCAGTTATTTCTTTGTTTTTTTCTCCTTTAAAAGCATGAACTTTTTGTGGACACAAAGTCACTGCTGAATAAAATTATAAGGACTTGGTTTTATAATGCAACAAATTTTGTTCTTATTTGAAAAACCTGATTTAGGAAAACTTTTTGTTTTTCACAAAATACCTTTTTTGCTTGACCCCTCAACTTATATTTAGATTAAGAGAGGACCTCCATTGGGCTTTCATAGTAGTAAGAGACATTCATTTGATGAGATATGGTAATCTTATATAAAGATTATGTTTTTCAAGTGCAATAATTTTTTACTCTTATTCTAAACAGTTAATTTCAGAAAAAAGTTCTATCTCAACTCTGAAATGATGAGACAGTATTGAAGAAGAACATTATTAAAGAAACCTCCTCAAAAGACAAGAGGGTTTACTCTTAAATAATTATTTATTAGTAGCTTTCTCGTATTTCTAGAATGAAGTCTATAAATCTTACTATAATTGCACAGGCCTTTATAGTCATCTTTGTTATTAAAAGAACAGAATTGGTTCTTATCTATAAAGGTAAGTCAATACTTATATGTTAGTCTAGATTATATGCTTCTATCTTTAAAGAATTTCACTAGTTTGACTATTCTCTTGTTTTTCTCCTAAAAAAATCAATGCCCTCATTACTAGATTGTATCTATCTACACATAATATTCAAATTTACTATCATTCAAATAAAAGAAACTAAAAGCATGCAATAAAAATCAGTCTTTGATTTATATCTCCCACTACAATATTGCCTACCATTCAATGCCCTCATTACTAGATTGTATCTATCTACACATAATATTCAAATTTACTATCATTCAAATAAAAGAAACTAAAAGCATGCAATAAAAATCAATCTTTGATTTATATCTCCCACTACAATATTGCCTACCATTTATATATCCTACATAATTAGGGACCTTTGGTGGCTTAATGGTAAGGAGCTGCACTGAAAATCCAAGGCACAAAGTAGAATTCACCAGATGCTTCATCGGAAAAGGAAGGGCAATATCATGCTTGCTGGAGGGTCAGCTATAGGTCAGTTTCAATTCAGTAATACCTAACGACAACAATATGTTATCAACTAATTTGTGTCAAGTAACATCAAATAGATGTACTTGCCACTTATGACCATTTCATTAACTACGTTAACAACCATTGTCTATGTTAACAATATGCTTTTTGACAGTAATGAATATTGAGGTGAAAGAATTACTGGCTATGATTGATATTTGTCAGTTTTTCTGGGTCACAATTATTGGTTATACATTTATTTGAAAGTTATGTGATGGGATATTTTGGTAGCTAACTAATGAGGCCATTTGGTAGTTATGTAATGACTTAAACATCCTAAATCTTTTATGTTCTGATTTTACCATCCTCCATTTTTGCACATCAACAATTTTCACTTAAAAACTTGGTCTTTGAAACCAAATCATGTCAATAAGTGAGGACTGGGTATACAACTTATACTTACTGTTTCTCTTGCTGAATGTGCATTTAGTAACCGATCTATACCAAAGACAGTTTCTTTTGATTCTTCAATATTGCCTCTTAAAAAATCTGAAATTGTTCCCTTAATGACAATCTAGTAAATTCCTTTCTAGAATTCCCCTACTTCCCCCTCCACTACTTCACACCATTTTCAATTTGCATTTTTACTTCAACTCTCTCTCATTGCTATTAAGTTAGAACAGATTCATAGCTGCCCTCCAGTGGGTTTTAACAGGCTGTAAATTGTACAGGAGGAGACTTCCCATATTTCTTCTGTGGAGCAGCTGGTATATTCAAATTACTCACCTTTGGGTTGCAACACAACTCCCTTTCTACTTGGCACACAGAACTTCCTACAATTTTATTAAGACTTTATTTACATGGCCCTCTACTCCGAAGCTTTTTAACGCTAGAGAAGACCAAGATATAAGGAGATATTAAAGTAATGCCTAGCCTACATATGTTGAAGGAAATAAGACATTCCATTGAAAATTAGTAACAAGTTCTTCCTTAAAGCTGTTATTAAAGGTGAATTTGGAGTTCTAGCCTAATAAACTATAAGGTTTTCAGATTTCTAATCGACAATTTATCCAATAAACAACATCATGATAGATGAAGAAGATATTGAGATTGTCAGCAATTTCATCTTTTTTGTATCTACAATCAACACCCTTGATATCAGCAGTCAAGAGGTCAGAGACATTTCCTTGTGAAAGTCTGTAGTTAGGAAACTCTCCAAATTGCCAAGAAACAATAATGTCAGTTTGAAAATTAAGATGACCCTGATTCAGGCCTTGGTCCCTTCCATTACTTGCTTCACCTCTGAGAGCTGGACAATGAATAAGGATGACAGAAGAAGGACTGATGCCTTTGAGATGTGGTATTGGAGAAGACTATTGAATATCCATGCACTGTCAAAAGAACAGATACGTCTTGGAGAAAGTGCAGCCAGAATGTTCTTTAGAGGCAAATATGATAAAGTTTCATTTTACATCCTTTAGATATGTCTCTCCTTGGAGAGGGACAATATGTTTGGGAAAGTGGAGCCTTTTCTTCCTAAAAGCTT